GACTCCGCAGAAGCCTCGGGACCTCTTCAAGGAGTACTAACGATGAACTCAGAATGTGGTATGAGAAGGACCGACTACCTCTGCCTTGTTCCTCAGAGGTTTCGTTCTTAGGTCTTTTCAGCTCCTTTTTTCGACTCTTAACTGCATCTTCGATATTATCGAGGGCAGTGAAAAGGTCGGCATCGAGACCATCCTTCTCGAGCTCTTCCATGACCTTCTGCCGATTTTCTAAGGATAACATTGAATGCCGACGAGTGAAGCTGAATTCTTGACCGAGAATCGTACGGGCCCACCGAGAAGCCATGAATAAACCAGATCACCCACGTCTCGTACTGTCTATGCCCAATTTATGCTCCCAATATTCCACTTCTTCATCAGCAGAATTCTCCGAGTCTTCGGCTTCTTCATCATCTGCGGCAATCCAGGATCTACAGACAATTCCTACTCTTCAACTCACCATCGGGAGAGTCTTCCATTTCTGAAAAAAAAAATACAAAATGGAAGCTGATGAATCCCAAGTTGTGGCTACGGAGAATATTTACGGAGACCTTTGACGAGAGATACCGCGCGTTTGAAGAAACCTCACCAACGATGTCATCCATCTTATGGCATTCAACCCTATGCAGAGCGATTCCAACCACTGCTTTCCAATCAGACTCAACAAACGAACTCATCCTAGAACCAATCACCTTGTCGGCTCGGCTCGCTTCTATCGAGATCTCTCTTCCGCTCCTTGACGGCATCATCGATCGCATCAAGAGATTGGAAGAAGTCTTCATCCCAGCCATCCTTGATGAACTCTTGCTTCACTTTTTCATTATTCTCTGAAATGGCCAGGAGTTGGTAATGACTCGCAAGCATGCACGAGCGTACCACCATGGATACCCAATTTGTCTTCCCAGTACTTCACTTCTTCATCAACACTCAATTGCTGTTCACCCTCGTCTTCGGAGGCTTCTCGCTCTGAGCACAACAGACCAGTTCACGAAAGGCTCCGTTCTGACCGATCCTGGCCATTACTCAACCCCCAGTCAAACCACTCTGAGTCCCAAGGAAGATTCGAAAACAAAGCAGTGCGTTAGTGTCTGGAAAATTGAATTTCCTGGACTTCTCACTTAAGTTTAAGGTTTTCCAGATGGACCAGCGCACAGTGTGCGCTGCACACGATGGTCCAGGTCGGAACGGGGAACTCAACCCTGGGCATTCCTAAACTGAGCCAGGAGACCGAGATGGTCACAGATATTTCCTTGTCTTCTCGATAAACAATTCGATCGAACATCTTCTTCCTAACCTCCCATATACTCTATACAATGAGATGAAGGATATAAAGGAAATCAACGAGACAATGAATTTCCAGGAAATATCTTTATGAAAAAACCGAGAATCAGACGGTTGAACTACAGACCCTACAAATGACTACTACCTTTGATAACTTTCCGCCTTTTACTTCCACCAATTCGACGCTGTTGTCGCCGCTTGAGACTCTTCCTGGGCGGCGCCATGTGCCGATGGAGTAAATGAAAGCTGATCAGGAGGGGAGGGAGGTTAAGGTACATTCTGAGGCGGTCGAGGTACACAAAGAGAACATTCCCACCACGTGTTGGGTGTTAATGGGGGGAGGAGAGGGGAGGTTTTGGGACGTACGAGGTCAATCTAGGGCATGCCATGATACAACCAAATCTTCTGGGTGGGGCAACTATGCCACTGCTCCAAGATATGCCTCGCTACAACTGATTCCTCCGGGTGGGGCGACTATGCCACTGCCC